TCAACGATCAATTACATACACCCGTGATCGATTCGAGACAAAAAGCTGCTCCGATACTTTCGTATCGGGCAGCTAATCAATGCGGGTTCATTCTGTTCTACGTATCGCTGTCTGTATGTTAACAAATTAATGATCGACATACCCTCCACCCTTAAATTTTAACCAACCAGAGCAACTCTATGGGAAAAAAATGGTCTGCCTCTATTTATTTATTTTTTTCTTTTTTTTCATCGAAATGATCGAAATGATAACTCACTTGGTCAGTTTTTACCGACCAGTTAAAACTTTGCCTCCGACCAGTAAGCGAGGTGTTTGAGAACCTCCTGAGTCCAGTAAGTCGCCTGAAGGTTATTTGTCTTTAGTAGTAACAATATATTCCCAAACATAAGCCACGTTTCTAGTTACATATCATATTTAACAATGACATGTTTTTGTTGTGTTTTTATTAGAGCTCCAAGATGTCTATTGCCAAAAGTTCTACCTTTCGCCGGGGTTTTTACCTTTCGCCGGAGGTTTCGCCTTTTATCAGGGGTTTTCGTCCTTCACCACTTATGAAAATGGTTTCGTCTAACAACTATAGTAGTGTCACGAATAATTCGCAGAATAACGATAGAAATAAAGGGTTTGCCAATATTTTCTTCACATACGTATTCATTATTGATTAATTCTAATTATATAAATGGACTATAATATAGTCCTACAGCGATAATGTTGATGAATCTAGGTGGTCCTTCAACGCTAGATGGTGTCCAAGATTTTTTAACAAGTCTATTTTCAGATCCTGATCTTATTCCAATCCCATTCCAAAAATATGCGGCCCCGATTATTGCAAAAAGAAGGACTCCTAAAATTCAAGATCAATATGCAAAAATCGGTGGTGGTTCGCCTATATTATTCTGGACTCAGAAACAAGGTAGCGCGTTGGAAAAGTTGATGGATGAAATAAGTCCTCTAACTGGTACGTTTAACTTAAAAAATTTAGAATCTATTTTTTATGAAATTACAGAAAAAAAATTTTTTTTTATTTAACAATAAACAGCTCCGCATAAAACATATATTGCATTTCGTTACGCACCTCCATTAACTGAAGATACGATAATTCAAATGAAAAAAGATGGTGTTAGACGCGCAATTGCTTTCACTCAATACCCACAATATTCTTGTTCAACTACTGGTAGCAGTCTAAATGAACTCTGGAGAAAATCTGAAATTATGGATCCTGAAAGATCAATTCACTGGAGTATTATTGATAGATGGCCAACTCATTCTGGATTGATTGATGTAGGCATTATAAATTTGTTTTAAAAAATTGATTTGCATTAACTTATTTATCATTTAAATGTTCAACAATTGCTAGATAACATTGCACTTATTATAATTTCAAATACATTAACATAGGCATTCGTTAAGCTCATCGAGAAATCACTTCTTACTTATCCTAAAGAAGTTCGAAATAAAGTAATCCTCTTATTTTCTGCTCACTCACTCCCTATGGTAGTAGTAAATAGAGGTGATCCTTATACATCGGAAGTAGCTGCAACAGTACATGCGGTAATGGAAAGATTAAATTTTTTAAATCCTTATAGATTAGTATGGCAGTCTCAAGTCGGACCGCAGCCATGGCAAGGTCCTCAAACTCGGGATGCTATAATTGGATTCGGTGAAAAAGGCGAAAAAAATATTTTGTTAATTCCAATTGCTTTTACAAGCGATCATATCGAAACTTTATTTGAATTGGATTTGGAATATGCTCATGAAGCTGAAAAGGTAATACTCATGTTTGAATGACAATAAGTTGGTTGTTAATGGATTAGCATACTCTGGTGCCACTCCAGTTTGAGCCCCAAACTAGGGTTTTGGCAAACCCAATTTTGCAGTTCATTTATAAATCAGGTTGGATAAAACTAGTTCGGATTGTTTCATACTTATAGTGCGAAACTGACGTCTTCCTGGCGAAACGTTTCTGATTTTGAAAATAGTTTCGCCTGAAATACTAGTCAAGCCAAGTTGGTGCGGGCTTAAAAGTGTGACTGTAAAATTGGTACAATCATGCAGCTTAGAAGGTAGTTGAGGTTGACTGGATAATTTAATAGAGTGAATTGAAAGTCAAATCAATCCAATTCAGGCCATTTTACAACTCTGTAACAACATATGTTGTGCCTCAGATAAATGCTCGCGTTATATTGCAGTGCATCTCAGATAACTGATATTAAATAATTAGCAATGATTGACTTAAGCTATTCTCTCATCCTAATTTAGGCCAACTACAATTTACGCAAGCATTATTTTTAGGCACGACATTTACATATAGCACCAGAAATTGCTACCTGTTTCGAATTATTACTCAGGCTGCCTAAAGTTGGGTGCAGGCCAAAATCCCGACAAACAACAAAAAATTATTAAGTTAGGTTAAGGCTAGGAGAATACCTAGGTTAGGGTTAGAGTTTTGGCGATTTTATAGTAAAATTGCTCAAGGAAAACTTTTTTTAATCGTCGGGATTATGACCTGTTGGGAATTTGACTTTAACTCCTAAAGTTACACCTGACCAATTAAGCCTTTAGGTATTACCGCATACAGTGTTGTACATGGACATATGTCCAAGCAAATTATTGGACATGGACAGTCCATAAACAATGTCCAATGTCCATGTCCATAATTTGGACATGGATGTCCATATTCATTGACAACACTGACCGCATATCAAGTGGTAGTAATTCCAGGCAGATGTTGCTGAAATGACAACTTTAGGTATGGTATACATAAAATATATTTATTAATTATTCTTTTTAAACTTGTAAACAATAGGTAGGAATAACAGGTTTAAAACGTGTAGAATCTTTGAATGATAATCCAATTTTTATAAATGCAATGGCAAATATTGTAAAAAATCATCTAGAAAAAGTTAAATCTGGTAGTTATTTTTCAAATCAATATCTATTAAGATGCCCAAAATGTAAAAAAGAGTCATGTCAAAAATCTAGAGATTTTTTTGGAAGAGCAAGTTTTAGAGGTTATTGAATTTTAGCTGAAATTTAGCGAGAATTTTCGTTTTTTTCTAGGTAAAAAAATTTAAATCATTAAATTTATTATTAGGTTTTATATTTAAAAAAATAATTATCAATTTTTTGATTTCCTTTTTTTGGCACAAATATAGTTTAAATACATAAATATGTTTAACATGTTTAGCAAGTATTTATATTTATTATTAAAAATTTGTTGGCTTGTTTTTAATATATTTATTTTTTTAACATATATACAGTATATATACTATATATATATAAAAGTATGCACTTTAATTATCCAAAAACTAAAATTAAAGTTAGAAAGTATTTATAGTATTTATATACAGTGTATGAGTTAGTAAATAAAAAAGTATACTTATTGTATTTATAAAAAATACTACTATATACAGTATGTAGACTAGATTATTTATATTATATACAGTCGATACTGGGGAAAGGCAAAAAAAAATCAAATTTATGCATTTATACAGTACCAACCAATCAAATACCAGAAAATCAACTGTCTAAATGCATATTACTAATAAATTTCTTTAAAAAATTATGCATTTAGACAGTATGCAGTATGCATTTAGACAGTATCGACTGTACTATACAGTATATTAGAGTTGGTTAAATTACTAGTCAAATTGGTCAAGTGGTTTAGTCTATTAAATAAATATTTTGTTATACAAACAACATATCTATATACTATATAGTAAAATATTATATATTTAACCAATACTAAATCTTTGATCAACTGGTCAGATTAGTCAGGTCAAGCTTAACTATTGACCAGTCCATGCCAACCCTGAGGGATTAAATTGTCAAAAAAATCATAATATATTTTAGATATTTGTAAACAAAAAATATCTCTACTTATGAAAAAAAAGATTATCAAAAGTTAATTTAAAGATTAATTCCCATTTACTCAGTAAGAACTATACAAATATAATTACAAATATAAATATGGTGTAGTTATCAGAACAGCTAGACCTTTCTAAGCGCATCTCATTAAAAACATAGCAAAAAAAGAAAATTGTGCATTTATAAAAGGTGTACCTATTTAGTGAATTTATATAGAGTATACATTTATAGAGGTTTAACTGTAATAAGTTCATTCCAAATTTACTTTTCTAATCTGCTTTTGATCTCTTGAATACACTTTGAAATTTTCGCTTTAAGTTCCGGACTAATATTGTCGTAGGAGCGCGGTAAACATGACCATTCCTTAGCTGCACGTTTACGAATAGTATCGAAATCATCCCAATCAATGACTTTACCATGATCATAAACCACACGCAGGAGGTTTTCAGGATCATTTTCAGCACAGCATTCTTTAGGATAAATGATTGGCACCTATAATGTAAGACAAAGAAAATTTGAAAATTTAAAGATTTGAAAAAAAACAAGCAAATTATAAGAACTAATTAAAAAGACTTGTGCTTACTCCATGTTCATTTTTCTTGACGACAAATTCACCGGGCAAACTAATTTTTCCGGTTTCTGTCTTTGGACTTTTCATGATATCCCTATATATATATTTATTAAAATGTTAAAGCAAAATCTCAAAATATTTGTCAATTTAAAAACAAACCTTTGAGATCCATCAGCATAAGTTATATGACACAATTTTGTAGCAAAGCTCATTGTATCGCGATTAACTTTCTGCAATAGTCCACCACCCATGCCAAACGCGATATTTTGTGCCGAATAACCTGCTTCCTTAGCGGCGCGCAAAATTTTTTTCATGGATTCGATGGTAACAGCATCACCTTGAATAACACCACAACCTTTAATAAGTTTATAACCTTTTTTATTTACATCGCATCCAAACACTTTATCAGCAGCCCTAAAAATAATATATAATATTTTTAAATCAGAATACCATATAGAGTGTATATATCATATAATGATTTAATATACCTGAGTGCCATCAAAACTACTTCCACTTGATCACCGCTATCAGGTCTAAGAACCATGAAACCACCTTTTTCAACCTTTTGAGCAGCAATTGATGGCAAAATATTATTTAACGCGTTGGCATAATCAAAAGAGTCCATCACACAAGCAAACACACCAAAACCAAAACGATCGATCATACGCAAAATAGCGTCCTATAGATAGTGAATGAGAATATTGAACTATAATTATGAGTATGGGACGATATTTAAAAAAGGGTTGATTTTTACATACTTTTTCAGTCTTATGCGCTGTCATAACAGAATGCTCAGTTGCTGGGATGGAGGTAGCGATAGGATTTCCATTATTGAGTTTAAATTGAGCATAGTAACCAGCACTCATTGTATCAGATCCAGTGAAATTGATCTTTATAAAAATATGTTTATAAATAACATAAGCATTTGTAATTTTATCATACATTATTATAAATCGCAACAAACCAGATGGGCAGTTCCCCCAATTACAGATTGTTCTATTGAAGTACATCCCCGGAAGCCAAAATCGTGTAAACGACTTAAAAATATTTTTAGTTAAATAATAGCTATATATGCACGATAAGATATAAATATTTGAATAATGTTTTACCTTTCCAATGACCAATATCCATCTTCATCAACGGTATCGTTATATGCTTGTTCAATGACATCACGTGCACGGCGTGAAAGTGTTGTCACGGTTGTTGGATACTTTATTACGTTTTGCAAACAAAAAAATATTATAAATTAACATTTTAAATATTAAACAGAATTAATAAATAATTAATCAATGATTGTTTACCCAAGTCATTGTGATCAAAGTTTCCAAGAATGTGACCAGCAATGAATATTCTTTTTCGGCTGTAATCTGATAAACAGGAGTATGCACATGGCAAGCAGTACCTTCAGGTAAAGCTTCAATTTTTACTGGAAAGTACCCGTCATTTTCTTTAATAAACTAATCAAATATAATAATTAGATTTTATTAATAATCAGTATTAGAATTTAGCATTGCATAGTATAACACGGTAGAAAAATCGCGTAGCAAAATTCTATCGAAGTGAGTCAAGTAGCCAATTCATGAATACATTAAAATTTATATAAAGAGATAAAATATTATAATCATTTTAGTACTACGAATCAATTGTTTTTTTTTGTTTTTTTTTTTTGAGATACCTTGAGAAACAAGTCTTTCGGAAAAGGAAAATTTTGGTATCCGGCATTATGAGTTTCATAGAATTTTTCTGCCAATTCAACGTCTTGTAAAGTCCATTTCACAGAAATATAATTTTCAATTCTAACTCGAATAATTAATTGATTATTTGTAGTTGATATGAAGCACGATAAACATATTAATAATAACTTTTATATAAGACATTTTTATATAAAAGAAAAACTCACATGTATCGAATCCCATAAAATAATAAACGAGTATCCTCTTTGTCACCATTAAACCCGCTTCTAAATTCACCATACGCTACACTCTATGACGAACAGTTTAATAAGTCGCGTTACGAAACACCACTTTTACAAAATAAGAAGAAAAAAAAACCTTGATAGACTCGGGGTACAGAAACGCATGGGTAGGCTTATAAGAATCTGTGAGCACTGCTGGCGGGATACCAAGAAAACCTGACATTTTTGTTTTCTAACACTAAAGAGCGATACAAATTTATAATGTACGTACGTACATCACTGTAGTATGACCAATAGGAAAAATAGTAAAAAAATACAGAAATAGTAAATGCAAAATGAGAAGTATATACATAAATATGGTTACATATTTAACCTTATCTTTATTGTCATGTGAATTTAGTGTGAAAACAGCAGAACTTAAATGTGTGACAGGTTATGGTTATGCTAATTGATCAACATCGGTCTATATTAAACAAAATTTAAATGTTATGGTTAGATTGGGAAGTGATAGAAAGGATATTAGACAAAGTCTATACCAAAATTATGAGTAGAATCTTTTTTCTTAGAGCACCAAGAGTGGTTTCATAGGAAAAATTTTGAAATAAAAACAAATTTTTCTTAATTTTGTTGATCAACCTGTCACATTCTAGACGTGCGTGAAAACAATTAGTTATCTCAACATGTGATGCTGCAAACAGAAGTAAAAATTTTTAGCTATCTTCATTGTAAATCAAACTTTTGTAATTTTAATAATAGTAAAAATTATTAATCTTTGACAAGATATATATACCGGAATAGCGTTACTTCAAAAATCGCGCACCCCTAAAAATAGCATAGTTTCAAAATAACGCCAACGCGCGTCCGAAATAACGCACACCTCATGCAACATACAATATTAGCAAATTTATAATATAGATAGTAACAATCGGGTTTTGAAATTGACCCTTTATCTCTAAATAACGCGCAAATGCCCCGTTATTTCGAGAATTTATGGTATTTGATTTTTTATTCTTTAAACTATTTTAAATTTAGAATGAATTTGCTTGTAAGGCTATATAAATTTTTTTGTTTTTATTTAAGTTGTTTTTGGACTATCCTAAAATAAAAAGGGATGTCCTACGTAGAATTCCTAATTATCTTAAATTATACATTTTTTTTTATTAACGCTAAGCTAAAACAGAAATATGTAATGCACTTTTGCTTTATTCTGCAGATATGCAAGATACGTACGTACAGTAGTCCCCAAAAGTATCGCCCGATTTTTTATTAAAAAATAAAATTATTTATTTAATTTCTACTCTACATACATTAAAATTTTTTTTTTATTTATTTAATATTTGCATGCATGGCCCTTTGCATCTGCTACTGCCTTGATTCTTTGTGGCACTGAGTCTACAACTGCCCAAAACACTGACACATCCAACCTCGCCCACTTCTTCTTTAAGGCTGCCTTAAGCTTGTCTGCATCTCTTGGAAAGTCTTTACAATTCTGAATACAGTTAGACCTTTCTAAATGCAACCCTTCTAAATGCAACACCTTTCTAAATGCATGATAAAAGACTAGCCTCATAATAGGACTTATAGATAAATGCATGTTTTTTATTTTGCAATTGCATGCTAATTGTTTGGCCTACTTACAAAAACTTTCTTCATAAATGTGATCACGCGATTATTGGCCAATCAAATTGATTATTTCTAGACTACTAAAGTTATATTTATTATATAATAATAGCAATATTATGATTTTATTAGTGTTTTCTAAGTGCAACTCTTTTTAAATATATACTTTAAAGCTAGTTTTAACAACATGCATTTAGAGATGTCTAACTATATTGTCTTTTATAATATTTTAGATGTTTTTTATAAGGTTAAAGTCTAAAAATTATAACAACCAGTTTATATATTTGATTTTTTTTTGCTTTAAGCCAATTTAACACTTTATAAACAGGAATATTGTTATGCTAAAAAAAACTAAATTTGATTTAGTTAATAATAGTGTTTAGCAAAATCAACCAAAAATTTAATAGTTAAATATTTGTAATTAAGTTAGATATTAAATAATTATAGATTAACCAATACTATAGGATAGAGTTAATAAAAAAGAGACAAATTATTTTTAGTACAATTTTTTTAAATTTTAAATTAAAATATTTTAACAACTAATTAATTATATTTGTTAAATTTTTTTTTATTTTAATTTTAGAATTATAAGATAAGTGTTTCTATTTTAATACAAGTAAAATTTACAACAAATATTATATAACATACCAATTAAAACTAAATGATTTTAATACTATTTAATTTATCTTATTGAGATGAATTAAATAATACCAAAATCATTAAATTCTAATTACTAGCTCATAAAATATTATTTATTAAAGTATGGTTTAAAAAAATGGTTTTAATTTAATATAATGCTTAATTTGATACAAGTAAATATTTATAATAAATACAATACAGTATACCCTGTCAAATCTGATATCTTTGGTAGACAAAATTTGTATCAGTTTTGAGAGGTTATCGGATTTAAAAGGATATAGGTTTCGATGAATGCCTGGTGTCACATAATTTGGCGAAAGATGATTGGCCAATCAACTCAACTAATATTAAAATATACGGTATATATATATTTAAATTCTGACTATAAATATTTAAAAAATTTATTCTAACCAAAGAGCTCTATATAGCAGGTCTTCCAGTTATTTCGCCATCAAAGGCTGATTTCCGGTAAGCATAAACTAAAAAGCTTTTCAATAGTCAGCAAGACTTCTGGCTTTCTAGTAAAACATGACATCAAACAAAAATAGTTGTACATGCACTTATAATACAAAACTGATCAGCAAACCCGAAATCCAGCTTCCCTTATACACTTTATTACTTAGTCAAATTCATGCTACACATATAAATATTTATACCATATCAATATTATTCAAAAGTTGCTAATAAAAATATTTTATTGATCCTCATAATATCCTTCATGAATAATGATAACAATTTGGTTAATTAGAAGTTTTCTCTATTGAAATTGGACATGTGTCTAATTTCAATTGAAAATACGTCTACTTAGCCCAATCGACAACACTGACTG